CATGTACTTAGAACATTTCCAAGGGCTGAAGGTAGGCTCTAACCTCCTTCAGCCACATTCTGGGAACTTTGTCCCTTACCTTGTTTCTATTTCTGTCACATTGTCTCCCATCTGGAGGAGCCTTTCCCCCAGTCCCGGACCCCCGCTCCCCCCACAGGGGTGGGGCAGAGAGAGGTGATGGCAGTCTCACTGTGGTAAACATTTACCTCCCTCTCCTCTCTAGAATAAACGATGAAATGTCCCTTCCCATGCCTCCCTTTTCCTTATGTGCACCTGGCATTTCATCATCCGGTTCAGGAATCTTCTCTGTGAGATGGGGTGCAGAGGGAGGGGCACGGGGCAGACCCTGTCCCAGACTCCTAAGCTTGAAGCTGCAACCCTTGGCCCTGCCTCATTTACCAGGGAATTGGGGGCCTTGTGAAGTGAGAGAGGAGAGCTGCCTGGACCCCCCGGTTCGGGGGCACTGTCCCTTAGTTCTTGCACTGTCCTGGCTGAAGACCACCTTTTCCGGGTGTGGGATGAGCAAGCTCTTTCACTGAATTCTGTTATCCAAGATGGCTCAGCCTTTGAGGACGGATACTTAGCTTATAGTCTCCCCTCCTCTCCCTTCTCTGCTTTTTGTGCCCGTGGCATTGAAACCTGGAGCTCAGGATACTACTGCTCTCCACATCTGTGGGCCAGAAAACGGGGTATGTCTTCATGAGCCCCTGTTTTCCTTCTTTAAGGCTTCAGATGCATCAAGGTACTTCTTGATGCCAGTTGTCTGTGTCCTGGGTTGAGAATCTTCATGTTGCCAGCACCATGTCCCTCCCCCCGTTCTTTTACTGCAAGCTGAGCTACAGCCAAAGTTGAGTTACGTCTTGGTTCATCATCCTCAGAAATTTCAGAATCATACTGTCGTATTAGGCATTGACCTTGATAAGCTTCCTTCAGTTGGATCGTGCAGCTGTTGGCCTCCAAATGTTGGGGTATGCTCAGCTTCTTCCCAGATACTTTTTTGAGAAGGAAATTCTTTTTTTACCCACGTGTACTGGGGAGTGTATCCTACTTCCCCCTCCATACGGTACCCTTCTCCTCCTTCCCCAGCCTGGAGTTGGGGAGGGTCTGCTTCTGTGGGGGGCCAGGTCCTGAGAAGGGGAGCAGCGGGAGGTCAGAGCAGAGGTGGGAGGACCAGGCAGGGTTGCTGCCCTTCTCTGCTGCCTCCGGCTGCCCCTTTCCTCTCTCTCTGCCCCCCAGTTAATCTCCTTTGCTGGTGTCCCTATTAAGCTGGCACAGGAGGCCCTTGAGATGGCAGGTGGTTAGCTGGGAAGGGAGTAATGTTGGGTCTTTCACTCCTTAAGGCCAGAGGGAGACTGTGCTTTTACCCTGAGGCTCAGCACCCTACCTTCTTCCTGTCAGGGACCCTGGAACCTGACCCCCATTCCTGTCCCCTTCCTGAACCCTGCTGCCTCTGTCCTCCCCTTTCTCTCCCATCCCCTTCTAGTACATCCGATTAGCTGGCTGGGCTGTGGGCATTTGTTGGGGTGGGGCTGGACTCTTGGGGCCCCTCTGCTGATTTCTTGGGAACCAGCGGGGCCTTTGGAGAAAGAGCTGGCCAGGTTTAGCTTTGTCCTGCTTGGGGGGCTGATGCCAAGTACCTGCTCGTTGAAGGGCCTGACCGAGGTTCCTGCCTTGGGCATGGAAGGTGCTGGAGAGCCCGTCTCCTGAGGTAGAAGCTGTCGTGGGGAGGCTGAGGCAGTGAGGGTGGTGGGGTGGTGGTAGGATGGAATGGCGAGCAGGAGCAGCAACTGGAATAGGGAGGAGGGAGGTTACAACCTGGGGGGTGGGATTAAGGCAACGAGGGAAGTGGGATGAAGATGATGAGAGAAGCAAAGAATTTGGGGCTGGATGGATGTAGAGAACGTGGGCCCCACTGTCAGAGGGGTTGTCGCTCTGAAAGGGTGGAGGGATTTATGATGCAGGCCTGGGAAAGGGGTGAAGAAACAGAGGCCAGAGGAGGGAGTTTGCTGGGTAGAAGGCTGGGGGTCCTAGGATGGGAGGAAGAGGAGTTGGGGGTTGGAGCTGGGATTTGGAAAGAGATGAGAGGTGCCCAGGCCAGGGCAGGAGAGGGGGCTGTGGGAGGGCGGAGAGAGGGGAACCAATGGGCTGGAGGAGAGGGAGGGGGAGGAGCTGGTCAGGCCCCAGGGCCTTCCGCACTGTACTGGCGGGGGGAAGAGGAGGCGGCCTGGAGCCCGAGGCACTGGGTCGGCCCCAGTGACACTTCCATCCCTGTCCCCAGAAATACCGCTACCAAGATGAAGACACACCCCCTCTGGAGCACAGCCCGGCCCACCTCCCCAACCAGGTAAACGCCCCCGAGCTGGTGCACGTGGCGGAGAGGAACTTGTCCCACCTCGAGGCCGTCCACGGGGTCGTGGGCCGCGCCCATCTCTCCCCCCTCAAGGTAGGAGACTCAGGCAGCCCCTCCCCAGTGCGGCCCTCGGAGCCTCGGAGCGACCACCACCCTCCAAGGCCGGTAGGGCGGTAGCCAAGCTGTGTAGGTGGAGGAAGGCTGGGACTGTGGGCTGGGACTTGGGCTCCTGGGGCCTAGGGAGAGGGTATTTGGGGGGCTGGAAACCTTGTTCCTACAGAAGAGGAGCAGAGGCCAGGCAAGTGGGAGTGGGTGCAGAGCTGAAAGCCTGGATGTGCGTGTGTCTGTCTGCCTGCCTGCCTGCGTGTCTGCGCGCATATGTGTTGAGATGTGTGCGGGATGCTCACCAAGCCCAGGGCTACTCCATTCCTTCACATTCCCTGCCTCTGTTCACGGTCTCCGTGTCCAGAGCTCTATTCAGAGCTCCTGCTGCCCTCATTAGCTCTGGTCCCTTCCCTGCCTCCTCCCCCCACTTCCCGCTCCTGGGCCCGGCTCTCCCTGCCTCCCCGGTCTCCAGTGCTTTCCATCTGTCTGGCCTGAGACCTCTGGCTGGGGAGCCCTCTGCCTCTGTCCCCGGCCCCAGCTTTTGCTCTGCTCTGTGCTTCCTCCCCTCCTCGCTGCCCTTCCCTCCCTGCTGGCTGGTTCTTGATGCTGTCTCTCTCTCCCTCCCACGCACTCGCCTCCCTCCCCCGGATCCCCCGCTCAGGCCCTCTGTGGCCTACTCAGTCCTCTTCAAGGGTCAGCCAGGCACCCCTCCACCCCCTCCCACTTACCCCCTTCACTGTTCGTCATTGCTCTCCCCCCTCCCAGGCCTCCCCTCTCCTCCTCTTGGGCTCTCATTTCTGCCCAGATGTTTTCTCTGTGTCCTGTCTGCCCCCCGTTATCATTTATGACCACCTGTTTCCCTCTCTCCTGTGTGCCGGAATCTGAGTTTCCTTCTCCCGTCTGGGGAGCCTTGTTTCTGAGACCTCCCATTCTCTAGGCCACTCTCATCTTCTTCCCCCTCAGTCTCCTCTTCCAGGGGCACAGGATGGGGAAGAATGGAGAGCACAGGGCAAGCTGTGCGATTGAGGGGAACATTGTGGGCTCAGGGCTGGGCTTTAAGGCTCTTGCGGGGTGCCCTTGGAAGGGGGACTTTGCTGATCACACTGAGAAGGTGGGGAGGAGGTCGGAGCTTAGGGATGAGGGGGCAGGGAGGGGCAGCGGCAGGATCTGGGGTGAGAAGGAGGTGGCTGGCAGGAGAGGAGCTGGAGAGAGAAAGACCATTCTCTGGCTTTAGCAAAATGGGGAGACAGCAGAAGGGTAAGAGGTCCCAGGGCAGGGGACAGACCGGCTGGGACTGAAATCAGGGTAGCAGGCTGAGCTGACTGGAAGGAAGGCAAGGAAAGCCCTGGAGCTGGGGAGATGGTGAGACGCTCTGGGGGCTGCAAGGAGTGAAGGAAAGATGCCAGGGCTTTTTTTTCCAGGTGGGGCCATTCCGTCCCTGGGAGGGGTGAGACGAGAGAGGGAGGCTTGAGAGGTGCAGTGGGTACAGGACTGGGGTGCTGCAGTCAGAGCTCAGGAAGCACAGGGAAGTGGAGGAGAGAGCGTGGAGGCCCGAGTGTGTGTGTGGAAGGTCTTAGGACAGGCAGACAGGAGACACCCCCGTTTTCAGAGGAGATGGTGAGCGGGTTGAGAATGAAGGACTGTGATTTAGGGCTGGAATCTGGAGGGGCTGAGGATGAGGTCAGGGGGAGTGGTGCTGATCTTAGTGGGGAATCAGCAGTGAGGATGGAGGATAAGGCCAGGAGACGAATAGGGATGGGCTGGAAGGTGGGATAGGGGCAGGGAAGCAGGTGGAGAGTGGAGGCTGGGGCTGGAGCCTGAAATGGAAGGTGGGGCAGGTTTATAGATGGGGGTGTGGGGATGGGGTGGAGAGGATGAAAGATGGGCCCTGAGGAAAGGTTCTAGGTGGGGACTGAGGATAGGCTGCAGGGTGGAGGATGGCCATGTGGAGGGGAGTTGGGTGTCAGTGCCTATTGGCTGAGTAACAGCATTTACGGAGACCGGAAGGGTCGGAGGCTGGTGCTAATAGATTTATGAGTGTGAAATCTATTAGCGATTGAACATGGCAATGTGTAGTATTGAGAAGCAGCAGTAGGGGAGGGGAGAAACCCCTTTGCAGGGGAGAAAGAGGAGCCTGGGGAGACGTGAAGACTGCCTCTCGCTTGGTAGGCTCCAGATAAATATTTGTTTAAGGAGGCGCTAGGTTGGGGATCCCGGAAGGAGGCTCTGGGCAGCCTTCCCTCATTGCCATGGAGACGTGGCTTCTGTTGCCCTGGCAATGGGGGAAGCCCCTAGGACCGGCCTAGAGCTGGCCCCACCCGGAGTCTAGAGACCCTGCTCTTTCGAGGCCACTGACGTCAGGGGCCTTAGCACGCCCCACTTTAACTCTTTCTTTAATGAAGTGGGGGGGAGGATCAGGGGGGGAAAGGAACAGATGAGAGGACAGGACCCGGATGTCTTTACCACTTCCCCTCCTGACGTCCTTTGCACTGTAGGGTGAGGGGCGCAGAGGAGGGAGGTGATGCAGAATGCGCTGCTCCTGGAACCTCTGCAGCCCGGACCGCTCCCGGCCCCCCTGGCGGGGGCGGGGCCAGAGCGG